CTTAGCAGGCTCTGGCAATCAACTTTTCAAGCTATCTCTGGGGCTCCTTTCAATTCTTGACTGTAGTTATTTGCAGTAATTCCATTTGGAGAATTGCAGGGGGTAAGAGAGGGAAAAAGCTGGATTTTAGGGCCGCATTTCCTCTAAATGAAGCTTTGGTTGTTTGTGTTTTGGGATTGTGGTGAGATCATTCATTTGGCTAAATAAGAATGATGGTGATGTGAGAGGGTGTTGAAGCCTTTCTTATTTTCCCCAAAGACACAATTAGGCAGAGAGAGAGAGAGAGAGAGAGAGAGAGAGAGAGAGAGAGAGAGAGAGAGAGAGAGAGAATGCTGCTCACAGACCACTTTCCCCCTAGCTGCTCTCTCAAAACAGAGCCTGAGACATGGGTTTAAATCCACCTTGTGATGCTTCACCACCCATGTCCATGCCCTGCAGTCCCTCTGATTGTTTGACAAGCCTTACTGGAGTGTCTGCAGATCTGAAGTGCTCAGCACGTCCTTCTGCACACTCCATTCCCTGCTCTAAACTGCTCTTGCTTCTATTTTGAATATAACTTAGCTTCAATTCTGGGGACAGTGTTGATCTAGAAGTCTTATTCAGCTTCCTGCGATCTGCTGAACTGCTTGTCCTTTTTAAAAGGCTGTTCATGCTGTTGAGAATAGGTCATTGATCTAAGGATTTGCATTGCAAGGAGACTAATGTGCGGTGTGATGGAGTCTAGTTGCTGCTGTGCCAGAAACTTAGCATTCCTAGTCATCTGCCTTTGGTTCATCATGGAATTTCAGGGTAAATGGAGAGAAAAAAGTAAGCCAAAGCAACTTGCTTTTGGCCTGCTGCCTGAAGTGTCTGAACTGGTGATGCTGTTGCCCTGGCAAGCCAATGACTGGTTTACGGCTGTGAAATTGAGAGTCATTTAGCCAAGATTCTCGGAAGTTGAGCAGGGAGCAAATGGGTGTGGGGTGAGGGAGGTTCATCCTCTCCTTCCTGTGCTGGATGCTCTGTTCCGCTTGCATAAATCCATGCATGGAGACCTTGCTCTGTGTGTGACATTCCTTGTAGGGCTGTGGAGCCGTTCTGCAGTAATTGTCATGCTGGAACCTCCAGGCACTCACTGAAATCCGGGGCTTGGTACCTGGAAAAGGGCGAAAAAAGCACTGCGAAGAAGCAGTAAAATTAAAATGCTTGTGCAGAAATGCTTGGCTAATTTTATTTTAGATTTCTCATTCTAACTATCCCTTAGGCTCGGGCTTAGTAACAATTTAAAAATGTAAAACTTAACATAATTTAAATCTGAAGCTCTTCTCTTTCACAAATGCTCTGGGCAGGCAACAATAATTTAAAGCAGGCATAAAATGGATATTTCTGGAAGCAGATTACAAAACATGAGAAATGTTAAAACTGTTCCTTCTCTCCAGTTAAAGAATAAAGCCTACAACTAAACTACCCATATTATCTCTAGCTAGCAAATGCTTATTTAATTCGAAGTCCAGATTTATTCTGACGGACCTCCAGAGAGGTGGTTTTCAGAGCCAGGGAACTGCTGCGCTCCACGATCCCCCGCTCCTCGCTGTTTGGTGCCTGAAGGGCAGAGTCAAAGGACCAGAGCTTGCCAGGGGTGTGTGGGGAGGGTGTCCCAAGGGAACAGCCGGGAAGGCATCCATGTACCGCCGGCCTCATGACATTACGATCGAGCACCCCATGGCTGGTTCAGTGTACTGGATAGCACTTGCACATTATATGTCCTTATGTAATAAGTGCCGCCAGGAAAAAAACTGATGTGTTTGAAGCATGGTGCTGGGGGAGAACTTTTAATGCCCTGGACCGACAGAAAGACAAACAGCTGGGTCCTGTGTCAAACCGAGCCTGAGCTTTTCCTGGAAGCAAAAGTGACAAAACCAAGGCTGGCATGCTGTGGACACATCGTGAGAAGGCAAGGGAGGGACTGGCAAAATAAGAAGTGGAGCGACTCCATTCAGGAAGCCGCAGCTTTGAATTTTGAACAGCTATGCTGGGCTGCCATGGATAGGACTTTCTGGAGAGCTTTCATTCGTAGGGTCACCCTAAATAAGAGAGGACTTGCTGGCACATGACAGCAGCAAGATGGAACAACCAAGCAGGCCAAAGGCTCCAAGCTCTTAGCTTCCAAACTGGCACTTGTTTGTGGGTACCACTCGTGCTGCCAGAGCTGCGTGCTTTGAAAAGACAAAGTAGTTAAAAGCTGTGCCTTTAAAGTTCGTCTAGCCTTGGATGTGATCCAGCGTAGATCTTTGGAAGCGGCTAACCCTTGCCCCATCCCGGAGGCGGTGCCTCTTCTCTCCCCTCCTGCCGTTCATCTGGGTAGATGTTCGCTTTCTTTTCTTGCGGTGCCAGTCCGTACGAAGCCCGGCCTTCTGTGCTCACTGAGGAGCCACAGGCACCGACTTGCTTCCCTGCTCCGGCCCCGTTTTTGCATCAAGATGCAAGTCCGCTTAGGAGATGTCAGGCATGTCCTGTGTCACTGTGTCAGGCCGCGTGCTGCTCTGCTGAGTGCTTGGCCTGGGGGACCCGCTCTCCTCCTTGCAGGTCTTCCCCTTGTGCCACCTCCATCGCAGGCCCTGAAGGGCGTGCTGCTGATCTCCCGTGGTGCGGCCCGCCGTGCTGCAGGCCTCGGGTGCATGTGAGCAGCTGCTGTTTTAATGGCAGCCAGGCAGGGGCTTCTGGGAAGGTCGCACCCTCCTGCAACAAGGGCCGTCCTGCCTCGGTCTGCCAACTGAAACCATTGATGGCGTGTCCTCCAGGGACATGCCTCAACCCTTCTTAATGCCATCTGAGCCAGTGGTGCTCACAACCCCTTTAAGCCATGGATTCCATGTCTGTTTGAGAGCCTGGCTCTTCCCCCTCTCCCAAAAGGAGGCTAATGATAAAATCCAGATTAAAAATAGAACTCAATTAAAATTTATTTATTATTTTATTTATTTAAAACATTGTTATGCCACCCCCATTGCAACTAAGCCTTGGGGCAGCTCACAACAAAAGCAAAATACATAAATGTAACAATTATACAAGTAAGAATTTAAAACCCGGTGCATCTCAACTTAAAAGATTTAAAATCCTATAAATACAAATAAAGTAACAATTAAAATGAGTTTTAAATAAAAAGGTCTTAGCCTGGTGCCGAAAAACAAATAACGACAGTGCCAGGCGGACCTCTCTGGGGAGCGCATTCCATAGATGGGGCGCCACCACAGAGAAAGCCCTCCTCCAGGTACTCACCCTCCTAATATCATTCACAGAGGGTTCCCGGAGAAGGGCATCTATAGCTGATCTCAAGGGGCGGGAGGGCATATATGGACAGAAACAGTTAGAAACAATCTCATGAACAGCACTGGTCAGTTCCACCCCCCTTCAGCCACAGGCCAGCTTATGTACCAGAGCTCTGCTTGGGTAAAGGTGCCTTTGCCGGCCAGAACAGCAGCACAGAGAGGGCCCCAGGACAGCCTCCCCAGCAGGGAGCTCCAGTGGAGAACACCAGGGGCCCTGCCAGGTGTGCCTCTGAGTGAGGGCAGACCCCCCCGCCCCAAGTTCTGATAACCTGGGCTCACCTGTGTGGGAAATGTGGGTGGTTTGGGTGGGCAGCCCCCAAGCTCTCTCGTGTGAAACCGTTCTTCCTTGCGTGCATCCTGGATCCATTGCCCAGCCGTGCCATCAAGAGTGTTTTACTTGGTGATATAACCCTCATTTCATGGATGAAATTTGCTTGTCTGTTGTCTAGATCAACTTGGAGGTCTGTGTTCTTAACCTTGTGTGCTGCAGTTAGCAATGAACAAGCAAGAGTTAGAAACATAGAAAACAGAGCGAGTCAGAAGGGGCCTCCCAGGCCATCTAGTCTGACCTCCGGCACCAGCCGGCTCCACTCACGACATGCCCTCCATGTGGACGTCCAGCCTATCCTTGAACACCCGCACCGATGGGGCCTCAACGACCTCCCGTGGAAGCCCATTCCACACCCTCGGGGCCCTGACTGTCAGGAAACGCTTCCTGGCATCCAAACTGAACCTTGGCTCCCTGAGCTTGGCTCCATTGGAGCACGTCCTGCCTTCCTCTGCAGGGGAGAACAGGCCTCTACCCACCTCCATGTGACCTCCCCTTGCGTACCTGCATGTCGCCAGCAGATCCCCTCCGAGTCTCCTCCAGGCTGAAGAGACCCAGTTCCCTCAGTCTCGCCTCATACGCATCCCCTGCAACCCTGCCACCAACCTTGTGGCCCTACGCTGCACTGACTCCAACCTGGCTATATCCTTTCTGTAATGAGGGGCCCAAAACTGAACACAGTATTCCAGTTGTGGGCGCACTAGAGTCGTGTAGAGTGGTAGTAATACCTCTCTTGATCTAGAAGCCACACTTCTGGCTATGCAACCAAGGGTGGCGTTCCTAGTTGTAATGTTCTAGGAGAGAAAGCAAAGAAAACACTGCCCACTTTCTCTGTGCCACGCACAACCTATCAACCTCTCTCCTGTGCCGCTCTGCGTTGTATTTTTTTCCTAAGCTGGAGAGTTATGCTGGGCTACCATGAGCAGGCTGGGAGGCCGGTGCATCTGGCTTAACTCTGCCTGCCTGCCTGCCTCATCCTGCAGGTGTTGAGCAGGCAGCAAAACAAGCCAGGGATGCTCCCTTGCCCAACTTGGTTGAGTTGGTGTCCAAACTGGGAACACTGGATGTGCCAGAGTTCCCCCTCCAGGCAGGACCTAACCAGGCTGGAGACGGCGCATCCCCAGCTTGCTTAGCCACTTCCAGAGATAGGAGCATGCGGCTTCTGGCTCACTCGTGGTAGCCTGGGCTGGAGGACGTCTGGGATGGCCAGAATGTGTAAACTTTATTTAGGATTTCCTAAATAATTTCCTAGATAAATTTTCCTAAATAAATAAATAATAAATAAACTGGGCTGGCTCTTTTCACGCCGAAAGCCTTTCTTGCTTTGCTGAACTGAGTGTTTGCTTGTTTTTCTTTTTTGCCTGCAGACTAAAAACCTGGACTTCCGCAGGAAGTGGGACAAAGATGAGTATGAGAAGCTTGCAGAGAAACGACTCACGGAGGAAAGGGAAAAGAAAGATGGTTAGTAACATGCTGATTATGGGATGGTGCTGCTTTATTCCATTGAGAAACACCCGGTTGGTTTTAAAATGAGGAGATGCAGCAGGCAAAATTGCAGAGGAAAAGAAAAGGCCATTTCCTTTTCTGCTGCCCATCCTTCCAAAACAAATACATAAGCAACCTCACTTTCTTTCTTTCCTAATGTTCTTGTTTCTCTTCAGAAAAAACATAAAGGGATGTGTTCCCCTGCTCTTAGAAAATGAAGAAATAAAAGTAAGAAACCTTGGGGTTCTTGAGGAACTTCTTTTGGCCAGTAAAGGAAAAATAACATTTCTGCAGTTATTTATTTATTATATTTATATCCCACCTTTTTCATTTAGGGAAATTAAGATGGATTAGGCAAAAGGACAGTATTAAATCCCCAAATTAAGCTAAAATATTTGAAGAAAAAAAAAGAAAATGTTTCCTGGTTATGTTTTAGGCAAACCAGTGCAACCCGTCAAACGTGAGCTGCTCCGGCACCGTGACTACAAGGTGGACCTTGAATCCAAACTGGGGAAGACTATTGTTATTACCAAAACGACGCCTCAGTCGGAGATGGGCGGGTGAGTTGCCCAAGTGCTTGCCGTACTCATTCATAGGTCTGCTTTGCAGAGAAGGTAGAGCAGCTAAACATGCAGGCATTGCTGCCTCTTCCTAATTCTGTGTCCAGAGGGCCAGGCCAGGTAGATGGCAGCTAGCTAAATGCACTTTCTTCACACAGTGCACAGTAGGAAGTTTCCTTTCCTGCTCCCAACCTTCTGAAGCAAATTTGGTTGTGTGTGGAGGGGGAAGGAGGGAATTTGATTCATCAGTGGTGTCTGTTGGCTGGCAGAAGGAATACACGGGATACAACCCAGGGTCCCTTCATGTCACAGAACAGGGATAGATCTTCCTTTAATTAAAACCGATTCAGCGCCCAGGACTTGGTTTGTTCTGGACCGGCTTTTCTATAAGTGGATTGCTGCAGTGGCCATCAATTGGATTCCATTAAATGTTGCAAAGTGCCTGCACCCTGACTCAAGCTCCAGAGCTTCAGCTTAAGTGTGAAAGATGGCTGGGTACCTCCCAGAGATCCCAAAATCTTGCACAAACTTACAGCTATTCAGCTCCAACTGCATTTGCTGGCAATATTCTTCTGCATTTGATACAAGGTACTCTTGCTTGTATGTACGGTCCTACGTGGGCTGCATCCCCCGTTTGAGAGAGTGATTCTTCTTATGTTCTCCACAAAGCATCATAGAATAGTATAGTTAAAAGGGGCCAAGAAGGCCGTCGAGTCCAACCCCCTGTCCAGGGCAGAACCCCGGTTCAACCATCCCTCTCAGAGGGCTGACCAGTCGCATCCTGAATGCCTCCAGGGTGGGAGAGCCCGCCAGCTCCATACATAATTGCTTCCACTGCCGTACTGCTCTAACGGTCAGGAAGTCTTTTCTGGTGTTCAGCTGGAGTCTGCCCTCCTGCAACTTGAGCCTGTTATTCCGTGTCCTGTGTCCTGGGATGAACAAGGAGATTCCCCAGTGCTCCTCAGCGTGGCAGGGCCGTTCTCCAAGCCCCAGACGTCGTCTCAGGACCAGCAGCTCCACGTGGAGTGGCAGTCCCTGCGTGTTCGAACTGTTGCAGTGAGAGCCAGGGCCTTGGCCAGTTGCCTGAGACGGTGGAACACACTTTCCCCCTGCAGACTTCTCTCTGTAGAGCTTTCACGTTTAACCTTGGGCAGCGGGTTCATTTTATTGGTGTCCCTGCTTGTGTGTTGCTGTTGTGATCCCCCCTCATTTTTTCTGGTGCACCACTATGAGGTTTGAAAAATATTCAGCATTAAGAAAAGATGGTAGTGAATTTGGTTCACTGAATTTGCAGTCCTGCATCAAGTAAATAGTGTTTGCAGCTCCCCTGGATCGCCGTTGCTCCCTGGCAGTTTTCGAGGTAGGCGTGAGCACCACGGTTTCCTGTCACTTTTATTCGCCATCCGAGTTGGCAGGGGACCTACTGATGGCCACAGCATTCCTGAAGCGGAGAAAGGAAGCAGCATTGCCAGCTGATGAGAAACATTGGCCTCCCTGCATTTTTTAAAAATTTTAGCCCAGTTACTAAAAGGCGAAAGACAGTGCTGACATTTTTTCCACTCACCTGTTGCTTGATTTTTAGCTGAACGCTTCGGGTGAATGGACCACTTTTTTGTTGAGCTCTAATTTGCAACTCTTAAGTAATTATACCGGATCCTAAGTGTTTTTATGGAGGTGCACTGAAGAGGAAGAGCGGAGGAGTGGCCGAGGGCCTCTCCAGCTCATTCATCTTCATGTCCCAGCCAACCAAGGCCGCCTGTCCTGCCCCCTCCCTGCCCCCAAGTGCAGCCGTGGCAGCACATTCGGGGAGGCCTTCTCAGGGTGGCTGCCACCGGCTGTAGGGATGACACCCCCTGCTCCCTAATTGGGGGGCAGGTGACTTGTTATGGGACTTGCAGCCAGCCTCCGGGGGGCACGAGGTTGCCTCCCTCTGGTAACTGCATCTGCTCTGATCTATCGGCTATAAGTCTAAAAAGGAAAGCTGCCTTGTAAAGCCTGCCTACCACCGGCTGCGGCGTGCGCCGCAAAACCTTGGCACTGCAGGGGAAAGAACCTCACGTCGTATTTAGGAGCTAATTTCCCTTTCTTCCTTCCAGGTATTATTGTAACGTCTGCGATTGTGTAGTGAAAGATTCTATCAATTTCTTGGATCATATCAATGGCAAAAAACGTAAGAACCACCGGATTCTTTCTTTTGTCTGTTAGAGCCAGCCGGGGTATAGAAATGAGATCTCGCTTCAGTCTGCAGAGGGGCAAATCTCCGCTCTTTGAGTGCCGTTCCTTCCTTGCTGGGATACGCCGGAGGATGCGCGGATGCTCTCTGTCTCTTTGAGAACTTCCCCGGAAGTTCTGTTCCCTCGCGTCCAGCGTGGATCTGGCACTTCAGGCAGGTGTATATGAAGATGTGACATGTCATTAGTGCTCCTCAGAACACCCCAAGTATTTCCCCAGCCCTGTCAACTCGAGCCTTTCTCCGTTTTGATTTGGTATTAAATACAGATAAACCAACAGCCACTGGATCAAAGTATGGCTTGAGGCAGACCATGTGAGGGGACAAGGTGATGCCTCTGACTAGGCACTTCTTCCCTCCCTGTCCTGCACCGCCTGATAGCTGAAGTTCTCTGGGCAATTTACAACACCACATTAAAATGCAATCACAGAGGTTTGAAGCCTCGGGGGACTTCCGGGCCCATTGCTCACGTGTTCACCTTCACAGGTAGTGAGCACAGCTGGGAGCAGTTTTTACAAAGTCTAGTAGAAGGGCTGCAGTATTTTCCTTCCACAGCAGCAGCCTGGAGGAGGTACGGCATTTGCTTCTTTTAATCGAGAGAGACGTGCCTACTGTTTTGCTGGACTGTAGCTTGGTTAGGAATGCCACAAGGTGGTGGTCTAACATGCAGAAGTAATATTGGTGCATCACAAATCTTTTGTCTATGTTAGCCCGGTATCAGTACAGTTGAAGGCTCAAGGCTGATCTGTTTTTGTCAGAAGGTTTCCTTCCTGTATGGAAGCCAAAGCAGCAAACAAAGAAATAACCAAAAGGGCCCAATTCTGGGCCTACACGGATTGCACCTCATGGCTAGATGAGATGTGGGCATGCCAGGCCAATGAAACACCAACAGGTATCAGTTAACGAGCCAGCTGAGCCATTCATCCAGCAGGTGGATTGGTCTCGTCCCCCATAAGGATACGGATTTCGCCAACAGGCTCACTCAGAGTGTCCCAAGAAGCATCTTTTTATGGACGTCCTCCTCATATACTTGCACCTGGCCTGGAGGCTCCGGGTGTCTTTGCGTGATCGCTGGAGCCCTGTGTGCCTTGCGTAAGCCCCGGCAGGGTGAGGCCTGTGCCACTGGTTGTGTTGGGTAGGCGCCAGGGCTTGTCCTAATGTCTGACCCTGCTGGAGGGTGGATTGTCGGCATGGTTAACAAACCATGTATAACCCTGAGAACAGTCCATGGGTTGTGTGGGTGGTTTGTAACCATGCCAACAACCCACCATCGTTGGGCTCAGTGTCAGTGTAGTGTAGTGTAGTGAACAAGAATGCTGGACTGGGACTCAGGAGAGCTGGGTTTTTGTTCCTGCTCAGTCATGAAGCTCACCGGCTGACGTCGGGCCAGTCACTTAACCTCAGCTTAGCCTACCTCACAGGGTTGTCACTGTGAAGATGAAATGGATAGCAGGAGAACTTTTCGCTGCTGCCGATTCCTTGCAAGAAGCAAAACGGCAGGCGATGTGGGGAGTAATGACGATAGTATGATGATGAAGAGGCACGGCAGTCTCCTGCCACAGCTGAATATTCTTAGCGGCCACCAGCACACGCCACACCTAAACAGGCCACGTGGTCTGCGTTTTCATGCGAACTGGGTCTAGAGCCAGTCCCGGAGTGCGGCAAACCCAGGTTCCCATGATACCAGCCGAGTTTGCTGGGACAGGTGAATGTTGGCTGAATCACAAGGGTGGAGATCACAGAGGTGGGGAGGAAAGAAGAGAGTTATTCCACCCCTTTCCTGCTGAGCCAATCAAGACCTCCAGCACTGAATAGACTTTTAATTAAGGGATTGGTGATGAAGATAGTCTATCCCTTAAAATTAACAGAATCTCAAATTAAGCTTTGAAGTAGGCATTACCTAGCCATACAAAAACATGACTGGGCATGGGATTTTTTTGTTCTGGTTTTTTTTCCATGTTGAGAATTGCAAAAACAGTTTTTTCTCAGGTTTTGCTGCAGCAATTTGAGGATGGAAATAATTTTTAAGACATAATCTGAAGTAAGATCCGCTTATGAAGATAATTATTCAAAGAGACATGATACTGAGCTCTCAAACAGAACATGGCTTTTTGTGTGGCTGCTGAAATACTTACAGGCAACACTGAAACAGCCTTGTTGGTTCTCATCTTGTCTAGATCAGAGGAACTTGGGTATGTCCATGAGGGTGGAGCGCTCCACACTGGACCAGGTGAAGAAGCGCTTTGAGGTCAACAAGAAAAAAATGGAAGAGAAGCAGAAGGACTACGACTTTGAGGAGAGGATGAAGGAGCTCAGAGAAGAGGTGAACTGTTGCCCAGAGCTGAAACAGTCAGGCATGGCGGGAAGAGAATGGCACCTAAATTTAGCAGACGGCCTGTGGTGTTCAGGTTGCTGGCAAGGGAAATTGTACCTGTTAAAAAAAGGATGCCTGGCCATTTTCTTTGCCACTGTTCCAGCATCTGTGAAATGCTGCCCTCCGTGATCTCAAATGGAAATTGGTCGCAGTGAAAACGCTAGCTTATTTGCTACACTGAAATTACCCCGTCCTGCTGTTCTGCTTGGGAGATTTTTCCCTGGGCTGGTCTCTCCAGTGCACTTCTGGCCTGCAGGTGGCATTGTGCATTTTCCCTCTTGCAGTTCCTTGTATGTGCAGTAACCTCAGGAAGGTATCTAGGAGGAATTTTATTGTGTGTGTTGTGAACCAGTCCCTTCTTGGCTTCCTTCTGGGTTCAAAACGCAAGACAGTGCTTTGAAACTCAGCAGATTACATGACCCAGCAGTATGAATGCCAAATAGCCTTCTGCCAGAGTTGGAGATGATGCATCTGCCCATACAGAGAGTTGAATGCAAACCAGAAACTTCCCCTCTGCCCCTCCCTTTCAGTAAAGCTACTGGGTCCCCCACCCCCCAGGTGGCTCTCACTGCTGCGGGGGGCAAGACAAGACGACACAAATGGCAAAGCCTCTCCAGCTGTGCAGGTCGTTTCTGGGTTGGATGCCTCCCTACTGGGTTAAGGACGAGACCCTGCATCTGCTCCCGAAATCCCCTGTCCCTCCGGAGCAGGCTGGTTCTCACACGCTGCCGGAGAAGTGCCGCTCAGCGCCTTTGCAGCCTCGGCGCCCTCGCTCCCACATCGCCGCCGCCTCCTCCTCAGAATCTGATGATGAGCCTGCCTGAGCAGTCTGCAGCGAGCAGCAGACGGGCCCTCTTTCTCCTGCAGGAGCATTGCTTGTTTGCCGCTGCTTTCCATGCTGAACCCAAAGAGTGGCCACTGTTAGAAGCGTTGTCAGCCCTTCTGCAGCTGGGCAGATGTGGCGGAGGCAGAGGGGTGGCTTTCCCTCTCCCTCCAGGGCAGTAGCCATGTCTCCGCCATTTGTCGGAGCCCCAAAAAACTTGTGGCACAGGGCCTGAGGGGACTCCCCAGGAGCCCCAAAAGGCCATGAGGAGCTTTTGGTCCTTTCAGGAAGCCAAATGAATAATATATTTATTGAACCCATTAATAAATACTTGCCTGTTTGGTCAGCTTTTTTGCATAGAATTTAATATTTAGCACCGCCATACTGCCTTTCCTTCCGGTCCCAACAAAGGATGGAGAGACACCCTCCCAGGCCTGGCTGGAGTCGGTGTGACAGATCTCCTCTGTAGGAGGCACACTAATTGCACGCTCCCTCCGCCTTTGATGCGCGTGCTTTCGGTAGCAGCTCAGCGAAACTCTTGGACTGAGCTCACTCAGCTCTCCCTGCACACACCCCGGGGAAGGATCCTGGCAGTTTGCTTTCCAGTCAGGGCAAACATTGGCTTGCCTGCTTGGAAAAATAAAGCCACATGTTAGATGGGGGATGCAAAAATGGATTTTCCTTACAAATGCCGCTAATGGCCATTTTCCTGTTTCACAAATCAAGCTGCAATTTTGCTCTCGAGCTCTCTGCAGATGGCAGGTATCAAAGAGCCCTGTGACGCCTCTGCGTGTTGGGACACTTGCGCAAGCAGGAGAGTCCTCAAGCTTTCGTGGCTCCAGCAGCTGCCAAGGCGCCAGCAGCCCCAGCCGCACGACTGCCTCCCCCGGCACCGGCCTGGCACCGTTCCAGGCCTCGCAGTCTCACTGAATGAAGCGTTTTGATTAGAGCCCCGGAAGCCCTTTGATGCCAAAGCCCCAAAGCCACCCGGAGCGCTGCTCGTGTCGCACACAGCAGCTGTCGCTCAGCTGCTCCAGCTCCGCCAGATACTGGCGTTGTCCGCCTCCATCGTCTGCACCACGGTTCCCGGGACATGGCATCGGTCCCTCTACAAGCAAAGGTGCATTTCCACCACTGTTAGTTGCCAGTGCAGCCTTTGGCGTTTGTCTAGCAGTGGACGCCAACGGGCTGAATGAACGCTCTCGCACAGTCCCGGCTCCACGTGCCCTTTCTCTGGGCATTCATTTGGGCTGCTGCCTTTCCGCCGCTCCTCTGGGGCCAACCTCTCTCTCCCACCCGCGATTTGTTCTTCAGACCAGAAAGAATCTTGTCCCTGCGGCCTGATCTCTGAGGTTGTTTCTTCCCTTTCTAGGTCTTTGGACGTGCACGCAAGCTTGACTCATTTGGCAGTGACTTCTCTTTGTTGCAGGAGGAAAAGGCCAAAGCCTACAAAAAGGAAAAACAGAGGGAGAAGAAAAGGAGGGCTGAGGAAGACCTGGCGTTTGAAGAGGATGACGAGATGGCAGCCGTTATGGGCTTCTCTGGGTTTGGCTCAACCAAGAAGAGCCACTGATCAGCCACGAACTGTGCTTGGACGGTTGTCGTCTCTGCCCGGTGATGCTTGAACACCCCTGGGGAGACTTCGCAGCGAACTTGCATCTCGGCGTACTGGCCGGAGTGCACTCCCCGTGTGGGGCAGGCGATGCCCTGCCATGGCTGCCTGCAAAGGGCAGCTCGCATTCACCTGTATGGTAGCAAACCTGGAGATCAAATAAAGGACTTTAAATTTAGCAGCTCCCTTCCCCGGTCTCCTTGAATACTTTGGAGTAAACACATTTTCAGGATCTCTTCTCTGTCGGCGTAGTATTTGTTTAGCCCCTCTTCAGTTGCCAGGAAGAGCACAGCGCCGCACGTTTCTTCCAGCGCCCCCCAGCTCCTGGGCATGCCTGCAGCGGCCCCTTTCCCTGTTTGAGTACTGCCTGCTTCTCACTCCATGCTGTGTTTGGCCCTGTTTGCACAAGGAACATTCTGCTGAGTATATTTTTTTCTGTTAATAAAATGATAAAAATCTTGTGTTGCTTTCTTTGGTCATTGTTCTGTGAACCCACCATCTGAGTGGGACGGTGTAACGTCGTCCCCTGCACCAGCAGGGGGTTAAACCTGGTGACCTTCATGGCCCCTTCCAGCTCTACTCTTCTATGATTCTATGAACCCATCTATGCAATGACCAGAGCATGCCCGTGCTTCTTGTTGGTTGAGCTTGTGTATTTCCCGTTTAGGGAATTAAAGGAGTTTCTTACAGCCTCTATAACAGCATGGAGCCATTGGCACTCAGGCTGCTGAATTCCCTGCTAGCTTTCCCATTTCTGGTGTGAAGGTGAAGCTCCTGCCCTCCCCAAGCCCTGCTCAGCGAGGGCCCGGTGGCCTGGGCCATGTGGAGGCAGAGCCGGGCAGTCGGGGCTGCTGGGAGGGGTGGCGCTTCCGCATCCTGTGCTGGGCTAGGCTGTGCGCCCATCTCTGCTTCCAGCCACGGAAAGCGCCCCGCTTAAGGACCGTTCCAAGGACGGCGCCCTCCTCGGGGGCTCGGCAGGTGCGGGGAAGGACCGACCACGCCAAGCCAAGCGCCCCTCCAAACCGCCTCCCAAGCAAGCGGGTGGCCATTGGCGGGAGGGGGGCGCTGCCTTCCCGCCTTGATGCAGGCCGGGGGGGTGTTATCTTCCCTGCTCAGCTGCTCTTTACGCTCTTTGCCACTTTCACTGCTTTCTCGATTTAGCTCAGCCAAACCTGCCGTGGCGACTCATTCATTACCTTTTCCAATTTAGTGCGATTTCCATCTGGTGTGGCTGATTTTCACAGCGCCCTCCTTTTTATATGGCTGGGATCATTGTTCTCACCTTTCTCCGTACCTTTGTGGAATCTCCCAGTGTCTTGCGCCTCCTTTCAAATACATGTAGAATTAATCCTATCCTGCTTTGTTGCTGTTTTAATTCCTTAATCTTAGGCTGCTGACAGCTTCATTGCCTTAGATATTTCCACTTCAATTCAGATTATAATCCCCATTGAAGATGCCATTGAAATGATACATGGCTTGCAGCGCTGCCAGCTGAGATACAAACGTCCTTGGAGACTTGACCCTTTAAGTGCAAAAAATCTTTTTAATGTGCCTTAAATTCCTTCTGTGCACCAAGTAGAAAGGAGTGCTTAATTCCAGCCACGTACCTGTCCCTCTTCAAACCGAAAGAGGAAACAATTTCAGTGTGTGAGGGAAAGCAAGCGCATGACTAAATACCCTGCAAGATTTGACGACGGGGAGGCACAAAAAAGGAGTGATATTAACAGCGCCGCTACTTTCATGTGCATTAAAACTTTGCGCATTTTGGGTGATGGCACCCCAGGTAGCAGCTCTGTGGCTCTCGCGGCCCCCTCGTCCTGCTTAGACACATTAACAACGGTTCGTTATTGCACATTGAACTAATTGAGTCCGGTTAGTGCTGATGAGAAACCACACAGTCCAGCAGGCCCCTGGCGGAGGTGGGTGCAGCGGCCCGCTGCATCCTCCTCCTGGTTCTAGGGCCGCGTCTGTGTGACTGCGGCACTGCAGGGCGAGACGTCCTCATTCCACGTTTTGTCCGGAGGTCCTCTGTGCCTGCTGGAGATGATGGAGCCATGGGAAACGCAGGTGCAGGCATGGTCCGGCTCGCCTTTCCTCGGTGTCTTTGGAAGGAAGGGTGTGCCTGTCTCTGGAGTGGTGCGGGAGGGTCCTGCGGACTGGAAGGACCATCCACGGCCTCCCGCTTCAGGGGTGAGGTGTCTCTGTGGCGACGTGTGGCGGAGCAGGAGCTGGTGGGTGCTTGCGGGTTCCTCACGGGCATCTGTGGAAGCAGGAGGCTGGCGGAGACGGCCTTTGGCTGGATCCACAGGGCCCTACCCTGTTCTTAGCGTGCGGTGGGTGGGTGGCAAAAATAAGTGGAGAAGGGCATCTGTTTCCAAGCCAGAAGGCTCAGCATTCCCACTCTGCTGTGCAGTGTTGACGTCTTGTGCCTTCCTCGCGGAATCTTAGTGGTCTATCGTTTGACTAATTCCTGTGGATGCTCATTTTGATAATGGGAAAACAAATTAGTGAAACATAATAGTATGAAACGAAGTGCGGATTCCCAGCAGTTGCCTGGCTGCAGAGGATGCAGTTGAAGGGTGTGGGGGTCCTGCTGACTGCCATGGAAGCGCCCATGCTCCGGCGGCGGGAGGGGCTGGACTGCCCCTTCCACGGTCTGCCGTCCGAGTCAGGACGCTCCACCTGCCCCAAGCCCAAAGGGCCCGTCCTCCAGGGGCCGAGCCTGCTTCCGGCTTGCACCTCCTGCCCAGTCCTAGGCTCGGCTTCCAGATGGGGAGGGAGCAGAGGCTTTGCCCGGGTGCCTCGCTGGGAGCAGCCGAGTGTGGAGCGCCAGAGAGAGACCCTGCCTCCGGCCAGGGATGAAAAGCCCGTTTCACAGGAGGCCGCAAGCGAGGATGCTTCCTGCAAAGAGCGCTCACTCTGGCATCGCCTGCTCCGCTGCGGAGGTGCTAAGTGTGTGTGATTAGGCAGCCAGGCGTCCAGCGGCTGCATCCTGTGAGTGCCAGGCAAGGCAGGACTGGGCTTCGGGGCGCCGGTCCGGTCCCTCGTGTGGCTGAGCCCACTGAGTGCGAGCAGACACACCTCTGGGCCAGTACGCATGGGATTCTGCCCGAAGTGGTGGCACTGTGTCCTCCCAGTCTCTTCGCCGCTTTCCATCAGCCGCCTTCTCTCAGCGTCTGGACAGCAATGCAGATCTGTGCTCAAAGATCAGTGTAATATCGCTAAGGGAACGTGTATGTTTTACTTTGGATGCTAACGCGATCCTAGCTGGTACCCTTCTGCAGGCCGCAGCATCCGCTGGAGCTCCGCAACGGTCCGGGCGGCAGGCCTCTAGAGCCCTGCGCTTGGGAAGCAGGGCCCGGCACTTCGCCTGCCAGCCCTCCTTGGTGCTGCTTCGGGACCAGGGCCCCACAGTTGCTGCCTGCTGCTGCGATGAGGCCGTGAAGCGGGCAGTTCAGAGGGCTGGCCTTTTCCAGGGGCACTGGACTGCAGACCGAAGGTCAGACCGGGATGCGCACTGAGCAGTTAGCGCTTCAGGTCGCACTGAGGCCTGCTCCAGGTTTTCAGCAGAAGGGCCCGTCGTTCCGCAACCTCCTAGGCTAGGGAATAAGGTTGCCGACCTGGGGGCTGGGGAGCAAGGGAGGCCTCAGAGGCCAGGCTGATGCAGGGCTGCGCAGAGCCCAGGCTTCTCGGGGTCAGCAGCACAAGCTGGCTGCCTGCGGCCAGGCGGTGGCCATCGCCGTTGCCGGGCGGGTCTTCTGCCTTCCCGATCTGTGACGCCTCCAACCGGTCAGCCTGGCGCAGAAGGGCTGAGGTGTGTCACACTTCCCCCCTTCCCGATGCATGTCGGAATTTATAGCTGACCTTTTCTGGCAGCTGCACGAAAGTGCAGCTAACTTATGGTGAGGTTTGACATACAGATGCTGAGGTCTGCAGTCGTTTGGGCCTCTCCATGCAGCCAGGCTCCAGAATTCAGATATTTGCAACTTGGGGCTTCCGCTGGGCACAGCTCTCAATCAAGGACGAGATGGCCCCAATGCCGACACCCTTTGGAAGAGGCCTCCCATCTTTCCGGGGTAATCAGGATCTAAATCTTCATTTGCAATTGCTTGGAGAAAAGGCTGCATTTTAGTTCCAGCCCGTTCTCAAAAATCTGCTGAGCTGGGGCAAGCTCCTTGGCGGTGGGAACATTCTTCTCCATTAGAGAGTCTCTTTGCTAATAGACTGATGTCCCAGTTAAGCAGCAGGGACTGTGATTCATCGTCATCAGAGGCAAATGGCTGTTGCGGAGGCTCCCCAGCCGGGGACTGCCTGATTTACCTGGCAGCAACTCAGCAGCATCAAGCGCCCACCGTCCCTCCTGTGCCACTTAAGAGCTCCTCATGTGCCGCAAGCCAGAAATCAGAGCGGCGGCGCGAGATTCTCCTCATCCAGAGCCGACAGCGGAAGGCAGGCTCCTCGGCCTGGAGGGGAGCCGGGCGGCAGCCCTTGGGAGCATCTGGAAAGCCGCAAGATGTGGAGTGCCACAGAACTCCTCTCTCTTTCTCGATGAGCTGCCCAGCGAGCGATGCAGCTGGAACTGGCCTGCGGTTAAAGGCAATGAAGATGGCCGATGCCTGTGAGCTGCACGTTTGCATAGCAAAAGCAGCGATTCTCAAAGAAAACCGCCTGCTTGGTGCATTCAGTTAAGGCAGGGACAATCTCAGAAGTGTCCCTCCTGAAGGAGGAACCAATCCTTCCGAAGCCACAGGTAGCTATTCCGATCCACTCCTGAGCCAGAAGTGGATCGGAATAGCTGCCAGCTTATCTATTTTCAGCGGGAGAGCAGCCACCGTGTCTTCATTGCAGCCGGAGGTTATGCTGCACCAAGCACGGCCTGACTTACCCTAGGCTGCCTCAGAACCCCTCCTGTCTGTTCCGTAGGCTGAAGCTTTTCAACAGGCCTCACAAAGCCAAGTCCTCCCCCTAGGAAAACTGAACCAAATGCATCAACAGAAGATGGGGAATACGTGGCTCAGCAGAACTTAAAAGGAAAAGGACCTCGGAGTCATTGTGGACAACAGGCTAAATGTGAGCCAGCAATGTGATGCAGCCAGAAAAGGGGCAAATGCTCTTTTGCGGTGCGTTTATAGAAGTATTACTTCCAAATCACAAGAAGTAATAGTTTCCCTACAATTCTTGAGAAGAGAAGACTGAGGGAGGACATGCAATCCCTCCATAAGTTCCTCAAAGGCTGGCACAAAAAGGAAGGAGAAGTTCTCTTCTCACGGATGCCAGAGTGCAGGACACGGAATAATCAGTTCAAGCTGGGACAGCCCAGATTCAGGCTGGGAATCAGGAAAAGCTCCCTCACTGTCAGAGAAGCACGGCAGTGGAAGCAGTTGCCTGGAGCGGGGGGGGGGGGCTCTCCCACATTCAGGCAAAACGGGGCAGCCCTCTGAGTGGGATGGTGCAACGTGGT